TCCCCTCCATATGTTACCATGTTGGTATTTTCTGATGTATCCTGGGGCGTTCTTGCCCAATTGATGGTTAGTCACTTGCGTGAAGAACCAGGGAGGGTGTTCGTGAGTCTGCGAACATTGCTGTTGGATACATGTGCTGGATGATTTTGTGTCACGCAGACTGGTAAGATAACCGTTTGATAGGGGGCACCGCGATGATTCACGGGGCCCCTCCTTGCTGTGGGAGCCGCTCTTTGAGCACTCCCTCTTTCGTCCGTGTGAAGGATGGTCGTCTACCTCCCGTGAAGTTAATACATCACCAAAACAGTCTCACCCGATAAATAAGTGGCGTAGGCCGCAAACAATTAAAGCGGGGTTGCGTCCTTAAAATTCAGGGGACGATAGCTCACCATTCCCAGGGCCAATGGAGGCATGTCATACCTCAAACTACGCGTCTTTTGCTAAGGAAGGGGGTGGTACGAAAAGTCAGCATCGCCGAGACGACTGACAACCATTTGTTGACGTCGAACATATTCATAATACTTGAAATGAGATGTACAGCAGTCAGGAGGGTTTTGAAAACAACTAGAAGTACACTACACCAGTTCTCGGCCAACTCATGTACTGCATAGCCGGGCAGCGGAGAGAGCAAAGTCCAAGTAGACATTAAGACTATTTATCTCATTCTTGTGAAACAAAAATAACGAGCGTATTTCAGCGTCCCACCGAGGAACACCAGTACATATCACTGTCGTCCCGGCGGAGCTACCCTGATGGCTTTTCCTTCCACATATCGCGAAGAGTTCCCTGAAGCTCCCCCCGCGGCTTGGCTCTACAGCTCTGTTGAGTTTCATGATTAAACGAATGAGCGGTCTTCGAAAGCAGGTACTGCGTCTCACGGTACTCGTCACCCCTTCCCTTCGCGTACAAATCAGATAGCGCCGGCAGATAAGAAAAATTCTGTGAAGAAACAAGGCTCAACTTTGTACCAAAAATAAGAAACAAGGGCTAAGAAACATAGCTCAATCTCGGCCACAACGTAAGAAACGCCCCAATGAGAAACGTGATGGTGCGATACCCCCGTGACATCAGAAATCTGCGGTGCTCCCAACCCCCTCCCAAGCTGAACAGAAGTGCATTTTTTTGTAGGAGGCGGAGTCCCCCCCCCGCCCCCCCCCGCGCCCCCGCTGTTCACGTGAGTGCTATACTAGTACTGCCACACATCGCGGACAACCATGTGCTCTACGCTGTTGTACGGGTTTGATGGCACTCTCCACCACCTCTCTTGAGGGCTTGACGATGTGGATTGTCCTCAGAGATCACAAGACAGAAAAAAGAAAATACGAAGTAGACTACTTGTAGTCTAGGGGATAAGAGAATCGGGAGGATGCGACAGTCCAAAGGAAGAGGAAATGCTTAATTACGAAATGGACGAGATGGGCCGGCACTTCGACCCAAAAGAAGGGATTGGTGAGGCTCAAACCGATTTTGACGTTTCTAACTGCGGGCGCTATCTGTAGGATAGAACGTCCTCCAAGCGAGAGATAACCTCGCCCTCGGTGAGAGACAAGGTTATACACGACTCTTCTTTGGAGGCATCAGATGGACCGTCGGTAGATGGATGGGAGGAACCTATCCATACCAACACCCAGTTCAGTTGCAGCTGCAGCAGCAGACCCTACTTGTGCTGTCTGTGCGCCGCTACTTCTGCACTCACTGTGGTGCGTGGTTCGTGCAAAGAGCGGCCCGCAGGCCCGCAGGCCCGCAGGACACAAAAAAAGGGGGTACGCGGCAGAAAAAGTGGGGGTACCCCAGTATCGTATATCCTGCCGGGCTCCCGGTACTCAGCTAAACAAGTTTCCTGTAAGCGGGGAGTTTCGTTAACGCGAGCGTCCTTAAAGCAGGGTCGACTGTACGTGAAGATAGGGAGCCGATCTCGCAGAACCCCGCGGACGGGTAGTGCCACATAACCAAACGCCCTTGAAAAGCCTGCACTCAAGGTGGGAATCACCGGAAATGTTCAATCAACCTCTGTTGGCATTGCCAAAATGAGTTTCATCAAGACGCAGACCAGCGAGCAACTCAGACAGGCCTGATCATTAGCGCCATACCACAAGCGCTGCAGGCCGCTTCCCTCTACATGTACATGAACATGCCAACCCGACCATCCGGGGGCCTCCGAGCTTGTTCTGGTGCAAGACGCCACCACCCAAAAAACACAAAATCACCAAAAGAGTGGCAAAGCAAGCGAGACACCTAGTGAAGGCGTGACAAATGACAGCCTCAGCTCTCCAAGCTGCCGGAAGGCCACCACAGTTCACTCCGTGCGACGACCGATGGAACCACTGGTGAAGCCCCTAAAAATGTATTCGCAGCACCGAAGTTCGTGCCAACCCTCCCCTGCACCGTCTTGCAGAGTGCGCCTTCGGTACAAAATTAGGTATGCAGTACATTTGATGAGTCTCATTCTCCACCGAAGTGTTTCCGTCTAGCCGCCAGGCATCTGTTTCCGTGTGACATTCTCCAGTCTGTAGGTGCATTGGGGACGAACGCGAAGAGGGGCGGGCGAGGTCAAGCCTACCCCTTTCGGCCGTCCGACAATCCTTCAGGGAAAAACGCGCGCAGGCTTCTAAAAAAAACTATCCAGCGCAAATGCAATCATCGCAACGTTGAACGTTAGACGTTATATGTCGCTTGCCCTGCCCCATCACACAACCTTACCTTCCCAGAGAAGAGTAGAGAGGGTTCGCTGCAGGCGGTCGGGGCATCAAGCCTCCCAGCAGGTTACGCGGCGACACCTGAGAAGAAAATAGGTGTGACAATATCAACCGATAAGACGGCCCAGGTTCGATTGGGGGAGAGAGCACAGAGACCGCGGTGAGAGGGGTGCCCGCCGTTTTCGCTATCTCCGCACACAAAGCGTTTTTGAACCACTCGGTAGGTCACCCGGAGAGGGCGGTCGACGACGGCAACGACAGGATGCCATGGCAGAATAGCCAGCCGAAAGCAATACCTTCAGAGGATTAGTCCTTCCGACTGCAGGGTAAGGTTCGATGTGCTCCCGTCAGGGCTTAGGTGCGCTTCGTAGGTGCTCGGTTAGCGTGATTCGGGGAAAAGAAAGTAGCAAATACAAAGATACCACAAGAACTCTGAACACACGCGCGGAGGGCCGTGCTGCTGCGGAGATGGTCCCAGACACAATGGAGGAGCAGAGAATGGACCCGCACGTCCGTCATCATCTCGGGGGTTCCCCTCGTAACGAGCTCCGCGGAGTCGAAGCCACCAACTGTTTCACAGAATAGTACGCCAGTTATCCAAGTGCAGCGCATGTCGACATTCGACCCGCTTTGGGAACGCCCATCTCGGCTTTACCCCATCCACCAGTACTCTCCAAGAACATCGACGTGCGTCAACACCAAGCTCGCCTCAACACCATCACTCTCCATATACACACGGCGTTCATAAACACACGGCGTTCATTACTACTCAGATTATCGGCTCAGGAGGAAGCGTGGCGAAACCGTTCCAACCAGAAACCCACCTGCGCTCCGTAGAACCGCTCGTTCACCCGGTCCGCGACTCGAATAAAGCCGGCCCCGACACCGAACCCGGCGAATAGGCCCTTGGAGAGGCTGTAGCGGGCAGCCTGGACAGCAGTGTTGGGTTTGTGTGGGAGCGAGCGTGGATATGACATGGGGAACGACAAACACGAACCCCACAGCTGTAGCAGAGTGAATCGAAGAAAAACTGGAAATGATCCCAAGAAACCGAGATACGACGTAGAGTGAACCGGCGTACGGAATGACCGACGGCACGTTTTACGGAGGATACCAGGTTGTAGCGGCGTGGAGTGGAACGGAGTGAAGTGAAGCGGAACGGAGTAATCAGTAACTACATGAAGACGAATGTGCACGAAAAAATGCCGGCATCATGAGTAGTGCACTCGACTGGAGGAGTAAAACGCTCGGGGGGCGGCGAGGGTGAAGCAGTATTGAGAGCGGAATGAATCTAGGCGATGTGGAGTGATTCAGAGTGAAGCGGGGTGCAGCAGAGAATGGCTGAGTTTAGAGCGAGGTCGACGACGAAATGAAACTCTGCGAGTACAGCACGAGTGACGTCACGCAGGGGGGAGTGAAGTCGCATGGAACGTGCTGAGTCAGAAGCAAGCAGAGTGAATCAGAGAACGAGTGAGTGAAATCGGGTGAGGCGTTGGAGTAAAGCAGGGAGAGAAGCGGGCCACCGTAGAAGTTGAGCAAATCAGAGAGTGGTAAACCGGAGTGAAAATCGGAGTGAAAAGCAGTGGAATGGTGGGCGGAGCAAGGCATGGGAAACCCACACGACGATGCTGATGGCACGGAAAGCAAAACTGGACCCAGGCTACTTCACGGAACGGTGTTGCTCGACAGCCGGCGAGACACGGGCCGGCAAAACACGCCTATTTATGCGGGCGTGCAGCGAAATACTCACTCGCGTTCGGGTCACGGGTCGGAGGAAACACCCGTGCATCCAGAGGGCGTCTTGGCCGAAAGAACGGCACGAGCGGGTGACGACACAATTTGCTTTGGAAGAAGTGGTGCGCTGGGGGCGCCGTAGAACCCTCCAAGTAACAACGATAGATCCCTCGGAAAGACACACAACACAACCAAACTGAAAAATCTGACACAAGAATCAGCGAGAGCGAAAACGGCGGCTACCACACGAGAAAACAACCGGCGCCAAGGCGACGACGGCGACCACCACGGCAAACCCGCACACCGACCGAGAGGTGCCACCTGCCTACCATACTCACAAAATCCACAGCCGGGGCCTCCCCGGGCCACGATCGACCACCGACGGCGGAGCCGACCGATCTCCCCATCGGGCCCACCGCCACGGCCGCGTCGAGTTTGGCGTATGCCTGGTCAGAACCAACCAGTGACGGGGG